ACCTCCAACTATAAAAAATAAATATTAGGGGACACGAAAAACCAAATAAGCACTAATATAATTATAGTAAGGGACTGCAATACCCCAATGTCACAAATAAACGGATCATCTAGACAAAAAAATCAGCAACCAAATACTAAAACTGAACCAAGTTTTTGAACAAATGGACTTAATAGATATCAACAGAGTGGTCCACCCCACAAAATCAGAATATACATTCTTTTCAGCTGCACATGGGTCATTCTCCCAAGTAGACCACATACTAGCTCATAGAATATGATTAAGTACATGCAAATGAATTGAAGTTATCCCCTGTATATTATCAGAATATAGTGCAATTAAAGTGGAGATCAATAGCAAAGAAACCGCAAGAACTTCACAAACACATGGAAATTTAATAACACTCTCCTGAACAACCAATGGGTCACAGAGGAAATTAAAGTAGAAATTAGATAATTTTACAAATAAATGACAATATCAATACAACATACAGGAACCTATGAGACACAATGAAAGCAGTTCTATGAGGGAAAATCATAGCTGTGAATGCCCACACTAGGAAAAGAAAATGATCTCAAATAAACAACCTAATGGTGAATCTTAAGCAACTTGAAGAAGAAGAGCAAGACAAACCCAAATCTCATACAAGGGAGGAAATTATAAAGATCAGAGCAGAAATCAATGCAATGGAGACTAAGAGAATGATACAAAATCAAGGAATCAAAGAGTTAGTTTTTTGAAAGAGTAAATACATTTGATAAACCCTTGGGCAACCTTATCAAAAAAAGGCAAGAAAAGGCTCAAATGCATGCTATTGGGAATGAAAAAGGTGAGGTCACCACAGATCCAACAAAAATCCAAAGAATTATTAATACCTACTTTGAGAACCTGTACTCTTATAAAATAGAAAACAAGCAAGAAATGGACCTATTCCTAGATACAAATGAATTTCCAATGTTAAATGAAGAAGATTTAGAAATTCTAAACATCATAATTACAATCAGTGAAATTAAAAACGTAATTAAAAATCTACCAACAAAGAAAAGCCCAGGTCCTGATGGCTACACTGCTGAATTCTACAAAACATTTAGGGAAGAACTATTGCCACTACTCTTTAAACTTTTCAATGAAATTGAAAGGGAAGCAATACTTCCTATTTCATTTCTGGAAGCAAGAATTTCTTTCCAAAACCAGGGAAAGACCCAACCAAAAAAGAACTACAGGCCAATCTCCCTAATGAACATAGATGCAAAAATCCTTAATAAGATACTGGCAAACAGAATGCAGAAGATCATCAAGAAGATCATACACCCTAATGAAGTCAGATTAGTCCCAGGCATGCAAAGATGGGTCAATGTATGTAAATCAATAAATGTAATACACTATATTAACAGAATCAAGGACAAAAACCATATGATCATCTCAATAGATGCAGAAAAAGCATTTGATAAAATTCAACACCCATTCAAAATAAAAACCCTGTAGAAAATCAGAATAGATTGTCTTTATCTCATCTTGATAAAGGCTATCTATGAAAAACCAACAGCCAACATCATACTAAATGGTCAAAAACTGAAAACCTTCAATCTAAAATCAGGAAGAAGACATAGTCCACTATCACCACTCCTGTTGAATATATTTTTGGAAGCATATAGTTTTGGAAACAATATAGTTTTAGCTACAGCACTTAGACAAGAGAAATAAATAAAAGCAATAAAAATAGGAAAGAAAGTTAAACTGTCCTAATTTGCTGATGATATGGTATTCTACATAGAAGACCCAAAAAACTCTGCTAAAAGTCTTTTAGATTGGAAAGATTCAGTACAATAGCTGGATAGAAAGGCAACACTCAAAAATCAATAGTTTTCTTGTACACAAATAACAGACAAGCTGAAAGAGAAATTAGGGAAATAATCCCTTTCACAATAGCATCCAAAAAATAAAATATTTAGGAATCAATCTAATGAAGGAAGCAAAGACTTCTACACTCAGAACTACAGCACTCTAAAAAAAGAGATCAAAGAGGATATAAGAAAATGGAAAGACATCCCCTGTTCCTGGGTAGGAAGAACCAAGTGAAAATGGCCATACTTCTAAAACCGCTATGCAGATTCAATGCAATCCCAATTGAAATCCCAGGAGCATATTTCACAGAACTAGAGAAAACAATTCAAAAGTTCATCTGGAACCAGAAGAGACCTAAAAGAGCAAAAGCAATTCTAGGCAACAGAGTCATGTCAGGGAGTGTCACATTTCCCAACTTGAAACTATACTGCAAAGGCACTGTGACAAAAGCAGCATGGTACTGGCAAAGAAACAGACCCAAAGATCAGTGGAATAGATTAGAAGATGCAGAAACAACTCCAGATATACTCAGCTACCTTATCATTGACAAAGGAACCAACCAGAAAGATAGCCTCTTTAATAAATGGTGTTGGAAAAAGTGGATTTCAACTTACCAAAGATTAAAATTAGACCCCTATCTTTCACTATGCACTAAACTAAAATTGAAGTGGATTAAAGATCTAAATATTAAAACAGAAACACTAAACTTGATGGAAGACAAGTTAGGTACACTCTCAAAGGCATTGCCATAGGAAAGGTCTTTATGAAAACATCCTCAATATCAAAGGAACTAGCACAAAGAATCAACAACTGGAATCTTATTAAAAAGCTTGTGCATTGGAAGATATACCAATGACAGAACAAAGAGACAAACTACAATGTGGAAAAAAATTTTACAAGCTGTTCTACAATCAAAAGTCTACAATATACAATACATAAAGAACTCAAAAAATCAGACCCCTCAAATATAAAGAACGAATTCAAAAATGGGCATCTGAAATGAACAGACATTTCTCAGACAAAGAAGCAAAAGCAGTAAACAAATATATGAAAACAATTTTCAACATCACTGGTCATTTGAGAAATGCAGATGAAAATAATGTTGAGATTCCACCTCACCCCAGAAAGAATGGCTGATATCATAAATTCAACCAATATCAAGTGCTGCCAGGGTTGTGGGGACAAAGGAACTCTTCTTCATTTTGGGGGGCAGTACAGACTGGTGTGACCACTGTGGAAACCAATATGGAGATAACTACAACAAGTAGGATTGGGAGTCCCATTTGACCCAGAAATTCCTCTACTGAGTTTCTTCCCAAAAGAATTTAAAGGATCACACCACAGTGATATATGTGCAACCATGTACATAGAAGCACAGTTTGTAACAGCTAAAACTTGGAAACAGCCCAATTACGTATCAACAGGAGACTGGATAAAAAAGATGTGGTTTTTCTATAAAATGGAGTACTACTCAGCCATCAAAAATGAAAAACTAGAGACATTTATAGCTAAGTGGATGCACATTGAGGCCATACTCTTTAGTGAAATAAATAGGACACACATGTGTAAATACTGAATAGTTTCTCTGGTGTGAAAAACTAAAAGTGTAAATAAGAATCAAAATGTATAATTGATATTGTGAAATGTGAAGAAAATGTTTAAAGGAATAGGGGAAGTAGGAGGGGTAGGGGAAAGAGAAGGGAAGAGAAAAAATATGAGTAAAAGAAAAACATGGAAACAAAGTCTTTGTAAATAGAGAAGAGTGAACAGGGTGGAGGGAGGGCAGGGAAAAGGGGAAAAAATAAGAACCAAGATACATCATGTAAAGTAACAAGATCCCAATGATGAATGTAACTGTAATGTATATCTAAAATGTACCAACAAATTAAATGGAAAAAAGCCTAAGTAGTTGAATTAATCAACAAACAATGTACAAATGTGTTAAAACAGAAGATTATATCATATAAGGAAGTGCAACTATTACTTGCCAATAAAAATTACTTTTAAAATAAATAAAATAATGCCAATGTATCATATGTAATCATCAATAGGGTGAAAACAAAATACTTCTGAAAGCAAGCTTATATTCCTTTCTGAGACACAATTTATTCCCAAGGACTTTAATATTTTAAGGATAAAAAGGAGTTGTGATGCCATAAAAACTAAATGCTAAACCCAAAAAGCCCACAAAGAAAATGGCCAAGTCCAGCAACTATTGAAACAATAAATGCAATTTATATTTTGTGTTTCATTAATTCTGACTCCAGTGGAGATGACATCTTTCATTGACAGCTCCTCTTTGCTCCTCCTCTCTCCCTCAGCCAACCTCCTTGTGACCTTTGCCCTTGGTCCCACTCCTTCTTCCCTGCAAGTGTCACAGTTGTCACAGTGCTAATATCTAAATCCTAGGCCCCTCTCCATGTAAAGCTGAGAGCTGTTTCTCTGTACCCAACCACTTGGCCTTGGTCCACAGGATGCTGGACAGGTGATGGGGACCTATGGCAACAGGGACAGAGCCACCTCTTCAGTGGGTCACACACATGTCACCTTTCTATGCAACAGAATGGGCACAGGAGGAGAAGGATGGAGACACCATAGACCTGTGCTGAGCCTCAACTGTAGACATTAGGTGAAAACTTGTTTTCTGAACTCAGGTTGCACCAGCTCCTCACCAGCTCCCATGGTGAGAAAAAGCCATTGTGCTCAACAAGGTGTTCAAAACCAAGCCAGTTTAATCTCCTCAAAAGTTTTCTGAGGGGAAATAAATAACAGGAATGGTAGACTGGGGTCATGGATGTAGCTCAGTGGCTCCACAACTACCTGGCAAGCACAAGGTCCTGAGTTAAATTCCCACTACACACGCAAAGAAAAAATAAAAAAGGAATGGAAGACTTAAAGTGGTGGCCTTGGGACAGGAGATAGACAGTGTGAGACATATTCTATAATCAAGTTTATGACAAACAGGGTGCCTCCTGATTCTTGAAAACCATTTTTCCTTACCATCCTGACATGAGCCTGAGAAATCCCCTCATGCCCTTATCACACTTCTTGACTTCTGCCATGAGGCCCAAAACATGTGCTTTATCTGGTTTGTGGAACCCAAGGGTAACCACATGACCATTATGACATCATTAGCATTGTGGATTCAACACTCCTCCACCATAGCCTTAGTCAGCTTCCAACACTCGTTCCAACAAGGCACATGTTAAGGCAAAAATGCTCCTCTCAAAGTGAGGATCGAGATTCCCAATAGGACAGAGTCCCCTTAATCTCACCATAAGACATAGGAAAGTTCCCAATGAAAACCTCAAACCCTAAAGCAGATGGGGCCTCTCCATTCAAACCCACTCTTGAATTTTCTCATCAGTCCACTCCCGACCTGAGGACTGTAACTTCCTTTAACAAATTCCTCCATCCTTACTACTGCTGTGTGTTCTGCTCAATTCCTTGTTCAGGACACAAAGAGCTGCATTTACGGGGTAAGACTGACATCAGCTGTGGGTAAAAGTTTCACATGGTGTTGGAAGGACATTTCAAGAAAAATGGCATTGACTCATGCAGTATTTCATAACATCCCATAAAGATGTTTACTGTAAGGAAAATTAATATCTAACCAGCTAAAGAGCTCCTCCATTTTCTACAGTACTATTTCTCTTCTGCATACAGTGCACTACTTCAAATGTAATAAACCATGAAAGTTTTAAGCAAAAACTCCCTTGAGGTAACATCAGTCTGCTCAGTGCATAATCTTTCATACAGAGCCATGGGAACAGCATAGTGTGGCCACAGTCTGCAGATACATCCATCTATATGATAAGCTTATTGTTTCAGGGTCTTGTCTTAACCTCCCTAAGGCATATTTCTCAGAGCCAGATAATCCTACAGACAAATAAATCAGAGGAAAATTCCCTGTAGAGCATTCATCTCCACACAGGAGTCCCTGAGTTAATGGTCTCCATGCACTAGCTCAGGTCTCAGAGGAACCAATCCAGGCACCCTCAGGAGCCCCTACTCATCACTCTGTCTCCTGCCTGGATTCTGATCACTCCCACCTCACTCTCCAGGAAACCCAGCATCTGAAGAGAACCTGTCTCACTAGAGCTACCCAACTATCCACCACTCCCCTCTCCCTCAGGCATCTCTTCCTTCTTCACCTCAAGGTGAGTGAGTAGAGCTGGGTTGTTCTCGAGCAGGAGAGTTCACTCTTTCTCCTCCAGTGAATTCCATGGAGAACCACAGTGAAGACTCTCTTATTTACCTCATGAGGGTGGACTCTTCTTGGTCACATGCAGTAAAATCATCGGAGGGAAATGAAATTACTAGGAGAAAAATCTTCTTAAACCTAATTATTACCCACAACCATCTGTCACCACACAAGATTTCAGGTCCAGAAAGTACGAAGACTGGAAAATCATAAACATTTTCAAAAATCTATTGCAAAAGAACAAATAACAAAAGACCACAGAAGGGAGAGAAAATAATAATCAACTCAACACACACCGTGCCTGTAGTAAGCATGAAGTGCTTCATGGGCTATTGTGTAAAACACAACAAATCATAACATAAAATGTGTAGCTCTATACTCTAAATGGTGACAGTCAAACAGTTTGGGAAAAGTTACATTTCAACTAACTTTAGAATGTTGGGCAAAATTTGGGGCAAAAATGGACAGTTTTCTTGATAAGTGAATGAAATGTCACTTGCCAGTGAATCTAGACATGAATTTATGCATTTATTAAATAGCTGCTCTAGGCCAAAACAAGGTGGTTGGAAGGCAGGAAACTTGAATTCTGGTCAAACTCCCAAAATATTCAAATGCAGAAGGGAAGAGGACAGAGTAACTGCAAATGTGCAGATACTCACAGTAACATGGGGAGACAGAGTCGGGGAGGCTGAGGGAGGATTCACAGCACAGCTCTTGCTGGTGCAGGGGTCACAGGACATGTACTTTCCATGGGTCAGCTGAGAGGCAGAGGGAGAAGCCAGCTGGGCAAGGGCCAGGAGAGAGAAGAAGCAATGCAGAGTGTGGGGTTGGGTCACAGGAGGCATGGGACATCATAGATGTCTCAACAGAGGTGGGCCTTGATGTCACATGACTCTCAACAGGAAGACAGAGCCAGACACCATGTGGAACCCCCACTGTCCCTCAGTTTTTGTGTCTTCATGAAGCAATTCAGTCCACACATAGGCTGCCATGCAGAAGTACACATAGACTTTAGCACAGAGTTAATACACAGAGCTTCATGCCCTCAGGGAGAAGGCAGGCAGTGCCACACAGGCCTCTACCCTGAGTGCCAGACTAATGTGTGCTTTGTGCAGAAGTTTCTTCTGGGCTTCTGGGAGCTGGGGTGACTATGATGCTGCCTGACCAGTTCTCTTAGAGAAGACTCTGGAGCTGACAGGTGTCTTCTGTTCCTTTCAGACAGTCAGTGTTAACCTCAGGGGCTGTAATCACTTAGAAAGGTACAAAAAGCTTTTAAAAGATAAGCTCCAACCTAACTTTGGTCTCAGGTAGGCAGGAGGGTGTGTAAAGAATGTCCCCATACTGGTGTCACTTGGCACAGGGTATGCAGCAGGACACTGTGTTCCTGGTTCTCTGCATGGAGGCCCTGTGTCCTGGGTCTGAGACCTAATAAGGGTTTCAGATGGGTCACACCCTGAGGTCTGTGTTTCCTCCTTCATCTGAGTCAAGCACAAAATGCTGCTTTGGACCCACTTGTCCCTCAGCCCTGCTAATGTCACACAACCTGCCCAACAGTGGGGCTGTTTGGTGGGTCCCTGTAGGCTTCAATACAACGAATGATAAAGTGAGGGCTGGGATTCCTGGGTATCCTCACCCAGGGGTCATTGAGGAATGGTGAGGCTGGGTGTGTCTGGAAACAGGACCATTGTGATGGCCGGCAGTGAGTCAGATGTGGCAATGAGGAAATCTGAGGTTGGCCTGGAACTTATTCCTGGCTTCAGGAAGAGTTAGTGTCTTAATTCTCAAATGCTAGAGACACAAATGATACAAATCAGTTGTCACTGTGTTGATACACAGTGAGAACTCTTGAAAACTTTAGGCTTTGCTGTGCCTGGTTTTTCACATAATGTCATGAACTTCAGGTGCACCTGTGCTGCCACTGAGGGCAGGTTATGCTTCTTCATTAAGGTGGGATGATATTTTATGCTTACATTTACCACATTATCTGTCCAACTCATCCATGGCTAGAAACTGGTTCATTCCGTACTTTAACTGCAGTGACCAATACCTTAGTGACCAGAGGAGTGGAGATGTGTCTACACACACTGGTCACTTCTTGTGGATAAGTACCCAGGACTGTGACTGCTGGGTCATATAGAAGTTCTACTTTAAATCTTTTGAGGAGCTCTAATCCTATTTCCATATTGGCAAGATTTACATTTACACCAACAGGATTCCCCTTTCTCCACATTCTTGCCAACATTTATCTTTGCCTTTCTAGAACAGCCCCTCCAGCAGCAGTGAGTTGAGAAAGATAAACACTTCATGCTCTCACTGGCTTGTGGAGGTGAAAGAGCTAATCTCCTAGAGACTCGGTGCAGGGTGGGGGTTGCCAGAGGCCCAGGCAGTGCCTTCCTCAGGGTTGGGGTGACACCACTGGCCACCATTCCACTACTCCTAGGGCAGAGGAGGAGAGCCAATCCCAGGGCCCAGGAGGAGGCTTCCCCACTACCATTTCACCACTCCTAGGGCAGAGGAGGTGAGCCACACGGGCACCAGCAGCAACCCCTGCCCCTGTGGAAATGAGAAGACATGTAAACAAGTCTCAAAAACAGACTTTCAGGTCACCTACAGCAACCCCAAATGGAAACAAGATGGAACAATCTGATACTCAACTACCTAGACTCCCTGAACTGACAACAAAAGAGGATCTGCAAAAAATATAATCAAAAATAATTTCTCGGATAACAGCAAAGATTGTGCCCATAGTGCAAGACATGATTAATAAATCTAGAGAGGACACAGATAAAGAAATACAGGATCTGTGGAAAATGATGGAATCCCAACATAGGAAACAAATGAAATCCATAAAACAGATGCAAACAGATTTACAGGAAATTAAAAACTCCATTGAAGGTCCATGCAGCAGAATGAACCAATGTGAGGACAGAATTGCAGATATAGAAGATAAGATCACAATTAGTGACCAGGAAAAGAAAAATTGCTTTAAAATTGTAAGGGATCATGAGAAAGAAATCCAGCAGCTGCTAGATGATGCAAAGAAGAATAACGTAAGACTGATTGGAGTCAATGAAGAAAGAGGAGAGAGTGCAGATGACATAAGAAAAACTGTTTGCAGAAGTGATGGCAGAAAACTTCCCAAGCAGGGGAAAAGAACTTGACATACAGATAAATGAGGCATATAAGGCTCCAAATAGCCTTGATTAAAAAAAAAAAAAAAACTA